GCAGCCAATACGTCCGAAGCGTGTGCTTGGCTAAACACTGCGTTAATCGCACGCCATCGGCGGACTCGAACCGGCACTCGTTGTCCAAGCACTAAAGTCGGTGTTGCAATCGTATTCCGATACAAAACCTTCGCGCACGTCAAGTCATCTCCGTCTGCATGACAAATATGAACTAACGTACTATAGTATAATAGCAGTATATGGGCTGCTAATGCATACTATCAATGGTCAATAAACTGTATATTGACCCCTATCAATGGTCAATAAACTGTATATTGACCCTTGTGCATACAGTCCCTGATTGCGCTGGCAGCGACGGGCTTTCTCGTCGCCAGCCCGGCGGAGATCGTGGACGCGCCCCTCTATCAGCCCTTTCAGACGCAGTGCCCCTGGGCACACAGACTCTTTATCAAGGACGTACAGTCGTGTACTTGTCAGGACGTCGTCAAGGCAGCATGCTACGTACTCATCCTAGTCCTAGTACTAACGTCGCGCTAGCATCCGCGGGGTTGCCTCCGCCTTCTTCAGGGACGGAGTTTGAAAGAGGAGACGAGTGCGTGGAGGACCATGTGGGCGGGAAAGGCGTCGCCGATTGTTTGCTGAAAATGAAAATCAATTGCCAATCAAACGCGGCCAATCGCAACCGTAGAGGCAGCTCGTCCGGATACGGTGCCGGGTGCGATGCTGTGAGGAGGCAGAGTCGAACGGCGTCGATGGTGGCCGAGATAACGAGCGTCGCCGTGCCGCTGCGGTGCGCTGACGATGGCATGCATCATGGCTCATGCGTCGTAGGCTTGTGATCAAGTTGCGCACGTACGATCTCTCGTGGAATGCGTCCTTGCCCGCCGAGTCGCTCCTCGACATGGCACGCGACCTCACCGAGCAGCAGATGACGCTCGATGGGCTCTTCAATGCGACCCAAGGCCGCGGTACGGGCTCTGCCTATCCAATGGCTTGCTCATACTCGTTGTAGAGGTCGACTTGACGGCGCCGCTGGGACAGTCGGTGGCGCCCAACGACGTCGTCGAGGCCAAGAGCTTCCTCGACATGCCAGACGATTCGTACAGTACGCTGCCTTGGTTCGCCGCGACCACGTCCCAAGATGGTCTCTTCTACCAGCAGCTTTGCGCCATGGCGATCGTCGGGAAGCGCGAGAACCGACGCGTCGCCAAAGAAATGCGTCAGCGCGCCAAGGACACGGACCAGCTCCTGTCGCTGATGGCGCTCTACTTCCAAACGTCGCCGGACCAGCCCAACGTGGCAGTCATCGAGGACCGACCGCGGGTCGTACGGGCGCGCCGGGCGTTGTCATCGTCGGCACCTGTCGCACCGCCGTCGCCAATCGTCGCGTCGATCGTCGCACGGTCCCCGCCGCGGTCGCCCGACGTTAGCGCGTTTACCGACTCGGATTCAGAGGACCCGCCGATGGCATCGCCGCCGCCTCGCGCGACGCCGCCTCCGCCCGTCAAGGTCACGACACCTGACGATATGTTTGACGTCGTCTTCACGCAAAAGGCCATTGGCCTCAAACTCATGTACACATTCTCTACCATCTCCATCATGGCGCACGGATACGGCGTAGCATGGACGATACCAAGCGGTATGCGATCGTGCGCGAGTGCATGGCTGGCTCCGAGGCCAATCGATACCCTGACATTCGACCGGGCGTCGCCGTCGTGGCCGTCAACGGTACAACCTCACATGCACTTGGGCGCCATCCGACATGACGGCCTGCTTGTAGGGCAGAGCGTACACGGCATCGGACTCAACCGAACCCTCTCTCGGCTGCGAGAAGCGCCGCGGCCGGTGGTCGTCCGCTTTGGCCACGCCGCCAAGGCGAGCAGTGCGTCGTGGAGCGATGTCTTGTAACTAGCGACCAATCAATATACATCAGCAGTGAACCGTCGTTGTCAGGCAAGCGCATCTTCAGGTGGTGAACGCGCATGCAACAACCCCAGCTCCGCGAGCGCTGCCACCTCCCATGCGGAGGAGGCGCGAACCCGCAAGGTGCCATTTGGTAAGGGTATAGGTGCAGCTCTTATACGCCATTGCCTTTGGCGGCCAACTGCACTCCAGAGCGTCGCCGGTCGTGGAGACTGCTGCAAGGGCGGGGTCGAGTCGTGCACAGGGGATGGTGCGCTGGACGATGCTCTCATCGCTCGTAGGTCTCAGGTCGCAACACTTTCAAGTTGGGAACATCTATATGTAAAATTGGTTTGGGCTAGACCTTGCTCTGCGCCGTAACATCAAACGTGCCTTCGACCTGGCTCGTCGTCGTCGCTGGCACGTCGTCGACGGCCGAGGGAGCGTCCGGGGCGTCGGACCCGAGACGTTGGGACCCCGGTCCGCGGCGTCGGCGTCGCACGACCGCAATGACGGCGACGACACACACAACGGCTGCGACGCCGGCGGCCGCTGCGAGACCCGCGTTGTCCTGGACGAGGTGCTGCACCGTGACGTCAAAGCTGGCGACGCTCGCGACCTTGGCAGGCACCGAGTACTGCAGCGGCTGGTCGTCAAAGGCGCGCTTCTGCGCCGGCGTTTGGCACACGCCTTCGTTGGCTTCGGCGACCGCGAGGTAGTTGACGGGCACATTGTCGGACCCGACAAAGCTGCAGCTGCTCACGTGGTAAGGGTCGATCGCGTTCGTCGGGCTCTGAAAGACGCAGACCTGGAACGAGCCTTCGATCTGCAGCACACTGTTGAGGACGCAGCGCGCGCCCAGCGCAATGTGATAGCGCGAGTCGTTGCCATGCATCTCGATCGACGTGTAGTTCAAGTCAAAGGTGGAGCACACGCTCGGGAGGTTGTAGGCGGCAAATGCGCGGGCCACCGACGCGCCCACGGGCTTGGGCAAAGCCACCTTGTTAATCGAGATCCACTCGACCGTAGTACCGTTGGCCGTGCTGTTGACGTCGTACAAAGCAGACGCCGGCACCGTCGTCGGGGCTGTCGTCGGCTGCACCGTCGCCGTCGGCAGCGTCGCGGGCAGGGTCGGTGCAACCGTTGCCACAGCTGTCGGCTTGATTGTTACCAGGGCTTGGCGCGCGTCCACCTCGTCTTCGTCTTCACCATCGTCGTCGTCCTCATCGTCGTCGTCCTCGTCATTGTGCGAGTGCCGCCGGCGCGTCGTGGGCGCAGGTGTGGGCGGGACCGTCGTAGCCGCAACCGTAGGCGCTGTTGCATTGGCAACGGTGGCGTTGGCGGCAGCGACCGGCGGCGTCGTCGGTGCTTGCTCGTCAGTCATTTCTTCCGGGCACAAGTTAAAGTCGCAGTCGTAGTAGACATTGCGGTAGACGCGCGAGCCGTCGGCGCAGACCTTGTGGTCATGCTTGCAGCCCTTCTTGTGGCCGCTGGAAGACGCGTCCGAGAGCGCGAGGAAGGCCATCGCCGCGCATAGCACCGCTCGCTGCATGCTTGTCGCTCCGAATCCGGTGACTTACGAAATAGAACGCGACAAGCTGGATCGGCGGAACGTCCGGATACAATACATCTGGATACGATACATCCGGATACACACACGCGAGGACGATCGCGGTATCGACGCAAGGAGCTTGGGTGATCGAACCACCGACTACAGTACTAGTACGACCTGGTATTCCCGCAGTATGCGCTCCTGATGGAGAGTCCGAGCGTCCGATCATTCGGCTGCATGAGCCCACTGCTAAAACAGCGCGGGCGGTCGACCCGACAAACTTTGATGGGCATCAGGACCGAAACGACTTCACCAATGGCTGGCCGACGCAGAGGACGATGCTCGTGGCGGTCTTGCGGAGGTCTGCTGTACTATGCAATACCTGTATGCATACTAGTACCAACAACCAAAAAGGAGCCGTGTTGCAGGCTGTTGCAGGGAGGGTGTTGCAGGGGGCGAGCGGCGGCGTCGCTGGTCCGGACGTCGGTCCGCATCCCGCCAGACATGTGGCGTCGTTTTGATATAACTGCCAACATGGGAGCAGCCTGTGAAACGTCAAGCGAACTACCTACACTGCTGCACAACGGTACCTGGTATGGCTGGTTGCGCTCCTTACTACAATGGGCCGTGCGGTAGCGCGCGTGCCAGCCCGACGATGGAGGCCGCCATAAACTCTCTCGACTGTAGTATGACGTTCAACGTACGAACCGGCACAGTGCCACGTCACTGGTTAAACCACGTCGTTGGGAAGTTGGACGTTCGCGCTGTCTATTACCTTGTGTACCAAGGCGCCCGGCACAGTGGCGCCGCACGGAAGCGTCCAGGACACTCAAGTACTTGTCGAGTTTCCGAATCGACTTGGCTTGCTGGACCCGGCCACACGAGCCGCCGCGTGCCAGGGTGTAGGTGCTCCTTGTTATGTCATCTCCACCAGCGACAATTTCGTGCAATAATCACATACACAATATTGTCATTCGTCTCTTGTCTATCAGTACTTGTAGTACGTGCGGTTGGTGTACACATACGTCTGGAACTCGGGCTCGCAGAACGGAAACTTGATGGTCTGCGGCGTCGGCGAGAAGAGCGCCTTGCCCGTGTTGACGCTCACATAGATCGCGAGCGCCGACGTGACGACGATCGAAAGCACGGCAAAGCACTTCTCCGGCAGCCCCATCGTGTGCCGGAACGTGCGGAGGTAGAACGCGATTGGCAGAATCGTGCAGCAGAGCGACGTGGCCGACGCGCCAACGAAATCTAAGAGGTCGCTAAACTTGTCCTTGAAGACGATCGCAATGACGACGCAGAGGACAACCATGAGAATGCGGAGAACCGCGGCCTTGAGGTACGCACCCGGCGCCTTGTACGCCGCCGAGGGGTCGAGCACCTCGTCGTTGACTTCGTCGGCCACGTCAGCCACGGCCGCGTCGGTCTTGGCCTCGTCGGGTGTCTCAACGTCGACGTACGCCGGCGCATTGAGCGTGAAGCGTTCCTTGTGCAAACCGAGGATGAGGCGCTCGGCAATAAACATGGCCGGGAAGAGCACGAGCGCAAATGCGATCGAAATGTGCAGCTGCATAAAGAGAAACGAGAGGATGATGCCGCCGCGCGAGGCCGTGAAGCCGAGGCTGTCGCCAATGATGGCAAAGAGAAGGTTGCCAGGGATTTGGCAGCCCATGGTAAAGTCGCCGCAGATAGAGATAAGGAGGAAGAGCACGGTGATGACCGAGATCGTCACGGTGATCACGCGCGGCATGCGCTCGGGCTGCGAGTGTTCACGCTGGAGCGACGGAATGATGACGCCGGCGCCGTACGCGAGCGAGAGGTTGCCAAAGACAGTCGTGACGCCTTCAAACGTAATGTGCGGGGACGGCGGCGAGATGCCCGACGGCATCGGCGTCGTGTTGTTGATCAGAATGTAGAGCGCAATCACATCTGCAAACACAGTGCCAAGGGCGCCGGCCGCCGCGGTGCCGGCACCGTCCTTGAGCGTCGGGATAAGGCAAACCGGGAGGAGCGAGAGACCCATGAGCGCGATCCACGTCGAGTCGTCGTACGAACCCGGAAACAACACCGTGAGCAAGGTCCCACCAAGCACCAAGAACACGATCGGGACCATCGTGCACACCAACATGTGCGTGATGACCGTGACCCAGCGACCCGTCTTGCCAAAGACCCACTCGCCCATGTCGCCAAGTGTCTGCACCTTCTTGGGCGCGACGAGCATAACTTTCGAGATGCACACGAGCGCGTACAAGTTGATGGACGCCATAAAGGCAAGCGCGACGGTCGCCCAGACGTAGCCAGCTCGGGCGTAGTTGCCCGGCATACCAAGGGAGCCAATGCCAAAGGCGACGCAGAAGAGTGAGAAGCACGCCTTGAGATCTTCGAGCGTCAAGAACGGACTAGCCATGGGGGACGTGGCAAAAGCGGAAATGAGCCGTCGAACTGGTCGTATAATACTGCTTGCGCCATACCATACCCTGGGGCACGGAGTATTCGTGCGGATGACCCAGGTGCGGTAGCGTGCTTTGTATGGCGGTGAGGCGCTGGATGTCGAGTGACACTTTTCGTCTTTGGCCAATGGCGGTACGCCGCTTGAAACGTTGTAATGGTTATCCTGGCAGAAGGGAAAATGGTTGTGGCTCGCTGACCGACCGTTGATACCTCGCGTGAAGCAGCGTACGGCTGATCAGAACTTGGCGTCTGAGAAAATGCCTCGTCACACCACGACCATTTCATGGCAATGCACTCCAGCGATCGCACCGCCAGAGCGACGCAGATGTAGCAGCGCTTGTGCATAGTACCGGAGTGACCCAAGGAAGACGGGCGCGCCTGCCCTTGCAGAGGTGGCGACTGCGGTCAACCCACATGCGACAAGCGCACATGTGTTTTCGCGAGCGCCCGTCCCGCGGCGGCGAGTCTTTGCATTGAAATTCTGTTCCAATCCAGCGTTCCGATGTGCATTTGCGTGGTAGACGTGGTATTGGTATCGCTGCCTACGAAACACGATACCCTTGGCATCAACAAGCGCGGACGCGACCAGTGGGTCCTTTTAGGTGCATTGTGTTGCGCTGCCGTGAAGCAGGGCGCACGGTCACCACGAATGCAACGGCCAGTTCAGTGTAAATTATATCTAAATAGACTCACTTCAACAACAACGAATGCAACGGCTTCTACTGGTACCTATCGCACAAGATGAATCGATCCAGAGCACCATGCAGGTGCGGTACCGAGGTCCCATCGATGTACAACCCGAGCCCTCGTTGCTTCGAAAGAGAAGCAGGGTGCGCGACGGTCCATTCGTTTGTTCACTCCATAGTCCGCCCTCGAACTTGCGTGGCGTATGGTGGTGGTGTCGGCAGCTATTATCATGAGCTAATATAGTCTATATTCGCTATAGAAGTCTACGTGTAGCTTGTCCAATGCGCCTTGGCCGATGACACCAAGGTGCAGTACACGAAGCGCGGTTTTTGGCCCTTCGATTGGCTCCAGTTTGACCACTCGCGTTGCGTCAATCGACCCCTTTAAAGTTCGATTTGTAAATTCAATAAAGTGCGCATTTTCTCCCAAGCTTTAGTCTTGAATGTTGTATGTGTATGTCGCAGCTATTCGGGCATGGCCGTACTTGACTGATTTCACGCAACCGTAAACAAGAAGCGCGGGAAATGACAGCCAAGGTTGACCAAGGTTGACACATTCACAACACAATTTATGATTCTAGTTACTACGCGACGCCAACAATTACGTTTCGCCGGTCGTCGTCTAATACTTGTAGTACGTCCGGTTGGTGTACACCATGTCCTGGAACTCGGGTTCGCAGAACGGAAACTTGATGCTCGAGTGCGACGGCGAGAAGAGCGCCTTGCCCGTGTGGATCGTCACGTAGATAGCGAGCGCCGACATGATCAAGATCGAGAAGATCGCAAAACCCTTCTCGAGCTTTGAGAGCGAGTGGAAGAACGTGCGGAGGTAAAACGTAATCGGCAAAATCGCGCAGCAAAGCGACGTGGCCGACGCGCCAACGAAATCCAAGAGGTCGCTGAACTTGTCCTTGAAGACGATCGCAATGATGACACAGAGAACGACCATGACGGTGCGGAGCGCCGCTGCCTTGAGGTACGCACCCGGGGCCTTGTACGCGTCGGCGGGGTCGCGATGGGCGACGTCCTTCACAGGCGCGACGTCAGCATCGTCTTCCTTGGGCGCGGGCGTCTCTGCGTCCGCGTAGTTTTCCTCGTTGAGCGCAAACTGCTCCTTGTGGAGGCCGAGGAAGAGACGCTCGGCGATGAACATGGCCGGGAAGAGCACGAGCGCAAATGCGATCGTAATGTGGAGCTGCATGAGGAGGAAGGCGAGAATGACACCGCCGCGCGACGCGGTGAAGCCGAGGCTGTCGCCGACGATCGCAAAGAGGAGGTTGCCGGGGATTTGGCAGCCCATGGTAAAGTCGCCGCAGATCGAGATGAGGAGGAAGAGGACGGCAGTGAGGCCGATCGTGCACTTGATCACGCGCGGCATGCGCTCGGGCTGTGAATGCTCGAGCTGAAGCGACGGAATAATCGTGCCGCAGCCAAAGGCGAGCGAGAGGTTGCCAAAGACGGTCGTGACACCGCCAAAGCTGAGCGCGGGCGACGGCGGCGACATGCCCGACGGCATCGGCGTCGTGTTGTCGATCAGAATGTAGAGCGCAATCACATCCGCGAGGATTGTGCCGAGCGCACCGGCCGCCGCGGTGCCAGCACCGTCCTTGAGCGTCGGGATGAGGCACACCGGGAGAAGCGAGATGCCCATGAGCGCGATCCACGTCGAATCGGCGTACGAGTCGGGGAACAAGACCGAGAGGAGGCCGCCACCGAGCACCAAGAACACGATCGGCACCATGACGCAGACGAGCATGTGGGCAATGACCGTGACCCAGCGACCAGTGCGGCCAAAGATCCACTCGCCAATGTCACCGAGCGTCTGGACGCCCTTGGGCGCGACGAGCATGACCTTGGACATGCACACCGAGGCGTACATGTTGATGGCGGCCATGAAGACGAGCGCGATCGAGGCCCAGACGTAGCCGGCGCGGGCGTAGTTGCCCGGCATACCAAGCGAGCCGATGCCAAAGGCGACGCAGAAGAGCGAGAAGCACGTCTTGAGATCTTCGATCGTGAGGAACGCCATGCTGTGCTCGAGGTGGCGAAATCGAAAGTGAGTGCATTCGTTTCGCGGGCCAAGCGGGCGGTTGAACTTGGAAAGCAACGGGTTTTGCGACAAGGGTCACAAGGCGACCGACGTAGAGGCCACCCAGGTGGAACGAGAGGGCTCGCTCTCGGCCATTGTATGGCCGCGCGCCTCGTGTCCGCTGTAATGGGTTGCCGATAGCTTCACCACGAGGTTAACCTTCTGCCACGTGGTGCGGCAGCGTGATGTCCCATTGGGTAGATGAGCTGCGACAACCGACGCTGGAGCGCCGGAGATGCGGCGTCCGAGCGAAACACCGATGACGTCCGCTGTGAATCTGATCAGTGATGAACGGCAACGAAAGGTCTGAGATGAGAGACGAGCGGACTTCGTTTTCTACGGCCGCAACTACCAGTTTTGGCATCTCGACAATGCGCAAATCGCCAGACAAGAAGGCGTGAGATAGTGTACACAAAGACGCGTGCACGCAATATATACAAGTGTACGACGTGTCGTCTAGGTGCTGGAACAAAGGGGCGAAGCGATGGGTGACGAGGACCGTACAATGTAAGAGATATCCAGCGCGGCGCATCCCAAGCTGGGTATTTTAATTTCTTCCACCTATCTTTCACCTTATAACAAGGTGCGACCAGGAAGGAATAAACGAGGTGCTTCAAGAGGCACCAGAAAAGAATTCTCACAGCTACAAAGCGCGCATGGCACGCGTCCTGCAAGGTACTGTCGTGTTTTAGACGCAGCACCACCTAATGGTTGAAACTAACATTCTACGGTACTGGAACGTGCCTCGTCTATTTAAAAAATGTCGTACGAATCCAGAGATAAAATGAAGTCGTCGATCCCCTTCAGCACTTTGTCAGCCCCCCGTGGGTCGTCGCGTGTTCCAGAGCCAGGCGGGTAGTAAAAAGAGCGCGATTGGTAACCCGAATGAGCAAGCTCGAAGTAGGATTGCGCTATAGATTTGCATCCAGTGTGGGACCGTTCAAGAGAATCCGCCAGGAAGACGAACGAACGGTAGAGTCGCTCGGCGCTGTGCCTTCGAATGGGACGAAGCCACCCAAATGACGTGCTTGCGTCTTCGATGCACAAAAGCTCTCAAGCGTCGTAGTGCTTGGGCAACGAGCTACTCACAGTCCTGTCTAACATCGCTGCGTGCGCTTTTATTCGGCGATAGTACTATCACAAATCCCGGGTAACTTCTTGTGCCTTTGTCGTTCTTACTGTTTTGAGGATTCGGGAAATCCCACGGTGGCAAGCAGTGCGTGGCACTGCATGTGGAAAGAAAGTTATTTAGCTTATAGTATTCTTTTGTCTAGTTGTGTCCGTTGAGATGACGTCTCGTATCTCCTATATGTACACTCAGGCAATGCAAGGCATATGCGTGTGGCCGTCCATTGCCATGTGACGGTTCAAGATACGTTATATTGTATCTTATTATGGAATACATATTTCGAGTGCACACGTGGCAGAGCGTTACACCAGCTGGCCTCGGTGCAGACCGATCCATGATCAACTCCTCCGTTTTCTGACCACATTGGTACCACGATGGACAAGGTTGTCTTGCGTGCGTCTGATATCTGATAGGCAGGCAAAGCAAGTCGTCCTCGTCACACACCGACATCATGATCACGGCAAAGACCAAGCACGGAAGGGGTGATGGCGCCGGCACCGCGCTCGGATGAAAAAGCTACTACCGTCATGTATGATTATGGGCTTCTGCAGCGACAGATGCCAGGTCTGTGAGTACCCGTGCTAATATCGTTTTGTTCGTACCGGTATTGCATACCGGTATGCCGGTCTCTGCTCTGGGGAAGCGCGCAATGCGACTGCCAAGGACGCACGATTCCACACATTTTACATTTGATTACAAAGTTTTACACGTCAACTTTAAAAGTTGTAGTGCGTCTTGTTGGTGTACACAAAGTCTTGAAACTCAGCAGCGCAGAACGGGAAGCGCGGACCCGGTGGGCCGGGCGCGAACAAGGCCTTGCCCGTGTTGATCGTCACGTAGATCGCGAGCGCCGACGTGACGAGGATCGAGACGATCGCAAATGCCTTCTCGGGCAGCGACATGGTCTTGTAGAACGTCTTGAGGTAGAAGATGATGGGCAAAATCATGCAGCAAAGCGACGTGCAGGACGCACCGACGAAATCCAGAAGATCGCTAAACTTGTCCTTGAAGATGATCGCAATGACGACGCAGAGGACGACCATGACCGTACGAAGGATCGCGGCCTTGAGGTACGCACCCGGCGCCTTGTACGCGTCAGCGGCGTCCGCCACGTGCACTGGGGCATCGGTCTTCTCGGCGTCGTCCTTGGTCGGCGTCTCGAGGTCGTCGTACGCGGCGGCGTCGGCGTCGAGCGTGAAGAGCTCCTTGTGCAGGCCAAGGACGAGGCGCTCAGCGATAAACATAGCCGGGAAGAGCACAAGGGCAAACGCGATCGTGATGTGCAGCTGCATAAAGAGGAACGAGAGGATGACACCGCCGCGCGACGCTTCAAACCCGAGCTTGGTGCCGGTGATGGCAAAGAGGAGGTTGCCGGGAATCTGGCAGCCGACAACCGAGACGCCCGTGATCGAGATGATGAGGAAGAAGGTCGTGATGACACCGAGCGTGACGGTAATCACGCGCGGCATACGCTCGGGCTGCGAATGTTCGCGCTGGAGCGACGGAATGATGACACCGGCGCCATACGCGAGCGCCAAGTTGCCAAAGACGGCTGTGACGCCGCTCACCGAGAGCTCGGGCGACGGCGGCGAGACCGGCATCGGCGTCATCTCGTCGACAAGGATGTAGAGCGCAATCACATCCGCGAGGACTGTGCCGAGGGCGCCAGCGGCAGCGGTGCCCGCACCTTCCTTGAGCGTCGGGATGAGGCAGACGGGAAGGAGCGAGAGACCCATGAGCGCGATCCACGTCGAGTCGGCGTACGACGACGGGAACAACACCGTGAGCAAAGTTCCGCCAAGCACCAAGAACACGATCGGGACCATCGTGCACACGAGCATGTGCGTGATGACCGTGACCCAGCGACCGGGCTTGCCAAAGACCCACTCGCCAATGTCACTAAGCGTCTGAACCTTCTTGGGCGCGACCATCATGACCTTGGAGATGCAGACCGATGCGTAAATGTTGATGGACGCCATAAAGGCAAGCGCGACGGTCGCCCAGACGTAGCCAGCGCGGGAGTAGTTGCCTGGCATACCGAGAGTACCGATGCCATAGACGACGCAGAAGAGCGAGAAGCACATCTTCATGTCCTCCATCGTTAGAAACGGACCTGCCATCGTGTCGCTTCTTAAAGCAAGCAAAAGTGGAAATGAAGTACTCGGGAAAAGCGCCAAGGGGCTAGACACGAGCAGCGTCTCGAGCCGACAGCAAACATCGTACCACGACGACTCGATCGTCGCTACACCGTGTTTGCGCCATGCCTCGCTTGACCACAAGCTGTAGGTACATGCGAACGCGGCTGAACCTGGATAAAGCGACGTAAAAACCCGTGGCTAGCGAGGCGACACCTTGGTGTTTGTATGGCGCGTCCTTGGACTGGTCACTGTAATGGGTGCTGCAGGTCCCCCAGCACTCGTCTGCGCAATCTGCGGTTCACAGCGCTCAGCGCGCCAAGATTGCTCTTTGCCGCTTTATCTCGACACCTCGAAATGACAAGTACGGCGACTGCAAACGAACTGGACCATGACGTCGTTCTTAACCTCACGTATGCACAAGGGACGTCGAGCCCGTCTGCACACTCACGCCAATTCTCAGTCCAACGGTTGAAATAGTCTGATCATACAGGCCTGTTGAGCGTACGTAGCCGGTGCGCGTACTACTACCAATTGCGCAGCCTGATTTGGTAGAAGCACGTCAACGCTTCGTTGCGAACGCAACGACCCTCGGACGAGCGCGTCGGTGGAGCTTTCTAATGCCCACGAATCGCGGCGCAGGTGTCTGGCGCATTGCGCATCATCGGTCCACAGCAGACGCCCTCTCGCTCGGCTCCCTAGCCTGGACCCCCTAGCTCGGCTCCCGACGCGCAGGCTCGTCGAGACGCCAACGAACCAAGAGCCCGCGCGAACCAGATTTCAAAACCAAGCGACTCTTGCCGTGCAATGGGTGCGTCGCCACCAGCGGCACCACTTTGTAGACGGCCGCGCGGGGAGCTAATCTCACGTTTGCGCAACGTGGTGCGATTTCTGATAAGGTAACAGAGATCCGGACGCTTCTTGCGATCCCACAGTGTCGGATCGTTGAGGCTGAAGTGGGTGCGTGCGCGTAATGTTTCCCAATCGAGCGCCAGGTTTGCAACGGCCGTTTCCTCTCAGAAAGGCTATACGACGTATCTCGTCTGCATACTTGAGGCGTATTGCATGGGCATTGTGCATCAAGCCACGTGATCAGTACGACGCCGACCTCGATCGATGAGCTTCTCGGAGAGAGCGTTCGGAGAGAGAAGACGCGCCGCTTCTGCATGGGTGCACGGCTGGCGCAAAAGAAAACCACGACCAGACTGCAGCTGCGACACGAATGGGTGATGGATGCTGCTGCCCAAGCTCAAGCAGGAGTCAACGGACCAAGCAATTACGATTTGCGTTCTGGGTACAAGGCTCTGGATCTATCCACCTTCGCGGACCAGCTTTGCCGCCTCAAAGAGCTGACAGCGTGTGCAACCGCGCAACGATTTCTTGCGGCCATCACAGTCTCATGCAAACAGGCCGAAAATAGTGTTTCAAAGGGTACCGTGCCACGCATTGTATGGCTTGCGAAACTAGCAATCTTGGTTTCGATTGCATGACATTACTAGTACTTGGTGCAGAAGGGGCGCACCGCAGCCTTAGTCGGGTCCTTGGACGAGTCTTTCTTGTCCGGTCTTTGGCCTTCATGTACTGATGATAGAAGCTGGTACTAGTATGTTGGGAGGATGCTTCGATCGATTTATAGCGGCCATGTGGGCCATTTCTGAGCAAGCGCACCAGCCCGGCCTCACGGTAGTCGCCACGATTGCCAAATGTGCATATCGTACATTCGTCGTCGTACGGTTTCACTTGTTGTATGTATTGGCCAAGTCATGTACGACACCGAGGGTAGAAGTACGCTGTACGAGTCGTAGTAAAACCAGCAAAAAACTGGTCATCTTGACGTGGAAGTTGCATGCTTCTTGCAGCGATTCTGGCCGATGGTTCCAAAGGAAATTGAACTTTGAACTTCATGGAAATACGTCGGCCGCCCAGCATACTTGAACATCAGATGGCCGTGACAAGGAGAAACGACCAATCACATTGCGTTCCGTTCTGATCAGGTGCTCAGTTTGCATTTTGGCGCGATGTGATTGGCTACAATGCCAGGAATATCGTCAGAAAGGCGAATCACGTGGCACACCAGCTGGACCGCTTGGATCTTCTACCACGTTGATGGAGGAGTGCTCAGAACACACGACGTGATCGCGTTCACATCGGTCTCTGGGCAAACGCTCATTTTACAATTTGCTTTGCGCCACCAACAACCATCATGGGCAAGCCATTTCTCACGTGGGAAGACGCCAAGATGTGCTTCTCGCTCTTCTGTGTCGTCTACGGCATCGGTACGCTCGGCATGCCGGGTAACTACGCCCGCGCCGGCTACGCCTGGGCGACCCTCGCGCTTGTCTTCATGGCGACCGTCAACATCTACGCCACTGTGTGCATGAGCAAGGTCATGCTCGTCGCGCCCAAGACCGTCAAGACCTTTGGCGACATGGGCGAGTGGTGCATGGGCACGTTTGGCCGCTGGATTGCCGTCATCTCGCAAATGCTTGTCTGCGTCATGGTGCCGATTGTCTTTCTCGTCCTCGGCGGCACCTTGCTCACGGTACTCTTCCCCGAATCGTACGCCGACTCGACGTGGATCATCCTCATGGGTATTTCGCTCCTCCCCGTCTGCCTCATTCCCAACCTCAAGGAAGGTGCTGGTGTGGCCGCGGCCGGCGCCCTCGGCACGATCCTTGCCGACGGCATTGCGCTCTACCTCCTCGTCTCCAACATGCACGGCCCGTCGGCTGGTCTCTCGACGCCGTCGCCGGAGCTTACGTTCTCGGGTGTCACGGCCGTCTTTGGCAACCTCTCGCTCGCGTACGGTGCCGGCGTCGTCATTCCTTCGCTTCAGCGCGAACACAGCGACCCGACGCGCATGCCGCGTGTCATCACGGTGACGCTTGTCCTTGTGTCCGTGCTCTTCCTCGTCATCTCGATTACCGGTGTCTCGACCGTTGGCTGCCAAATTCCGGGCAACCTCCTCTTTGCCATCACCGGCACCAAGCTCGGCTTTGAAGCGTCGCGCGGCGGCATCATTTTGGCCTTCCTCTTCATGCAGATCCACATCACGGTCGCCTTTGCGCTCATTCTGTTCCCGGCCATGTTTATTGCTGAGCGCCTCGTCCTTGGCCTGCACAAAAACGCGTTTGCCCTTGCGCCCGCGGATGAAGCGGCCAAGGATGCCATGTACGCGTCGCTCGAGACGCCGTCGGCGGACGCCAAGGTCGAAGTCGAGGCGAACCACGTTGAGGATAAAGTCGTTGCGGCCTACGCCGCGCCGGGCGCGTACCTCAAGGCGTGCATCCTCCGCACGGTCATGGTCGTCGTCATGGTCATCATTGCCATCATCTGGAAGGACCATTTTGGCGACCTTCTGGATTTTGTCGGCGCCTCCTCGACGTCGCTCAGCTGCATGATTCTGCCCATCATCTTCTACCTCAAGACGTTCCGCACGACGCTTGGCGTGCCGGAGAAGGCATTTGCGATCCTCTGCGTCCTCGTCACGTCGGCCCTCGCTATCTATGTGACGTACACGACGGGCAAGAACCTCTTTGCGCCGGCGGCGGGCGACTCGTCGATCAAGTTCCCGTACTGCCCGGCCGAGTACCAAAAGATGGTCTACACCAACACGACGTTCTACAAGCACTAAGTCGTCGTCGCATTCCGCCTCCTTTGTATGTATAAAATCTTGTTGAATGAAAACATTTTTGTGTCCTAAAGTTGTCTGATGGCTCGTTGCGCATTTCAACGCAAGTAAGACTAAGAAATCAGTGTGCCCCAATCTCACCAAGCGCTGGCGCCCTCGACGACCTCAACGAATGCGTAGATATAACTTATAGCTTGTGTACGGATGCTTAAGGTCGCAATGCTGTAAGTCGCATTCCGCCGCGCAGTCATTTATCGCTGCGTGATGGCTCCAAACAGCATTTTCACACATTTGCGATATCCTGCTTGACACAGAATCTAAACTGCTGTTTTAAAACAGAATATTGACCACGCGACACAGCGTTTCATTCGATCCGTGCCATCTCAACCGCCTCCGCAAGGGCTCGTATACAATCGTCCTAGTCGTACTAAGGCTACTCCACAACGTCACTGCAAAATACGGACACTAGACACTAAGCAAACTCACCGATCCCCTCCCAAACCGTCCACAGAGTTTAGAAGAAGCTGGGTTTGAAGAGACACACATTACATTTCTTTTTACTTGCACAGGAGACAACATTGGAGTCTAGAGCTTCTTGCCGCTGTAGAACGTCGTGTTGGTGTAGACCATTTGCTGGTACTCGGCCGGGCAGTACGGGAACTTGATCGCGGGGTTGGCCTGGCCGGGCGCAAAGAGGTGCTTGCCCGTCGTGTACGACACGTAGACAGCGAGGCACGTGGTCACGAGGACGCAGAGGATCGCAAATGCCTTCTCGGGCTTGGACAGCGTCGCGTGGAACGTCTTGAGGTAAAAGACGATCGGCAGAATCATGCAGCTCGTCGACGTCGACGACGCACCGACAAAGTCGACGAGGTCCGTAAAGTTGTCCTTCCACAGAAGCGCCACGACCACCATGATGGCGACGACCACCGTGCGCAAGATGCACACCTTGAGGTACGCGCCCGGCGCGTTGTAGGCGGCGGCACTGCCCGAGTCGTGCTCGGCCGTCGCATCGTGCACCTTGGCAAGGTCAGCGTTGGTAGCCTCGTTCGGGGTCTCGGTGACGGCAAAGGCAGACTCCTTGGCTTCTTCGTCGACGACATCTGCAAGCACAAACGCCGACTTGTGCATGCCGAGGATGATGCGCTCCATGATGAAGAGCGCCGGGTACAGAATCAACGAGAACGCGATCGTGATGTGGAGCTGCATGAAGAGGAAGGCGAGGATGACACCGCCGCGCGACGCCTTGAAGCCGAGCTTGTCGCCGTTGACGGCAAAAAGGAGGTTGCCCGGAATCTGGCAGCCGACCACCGACACACCCGTGATGGCGAGCACCATGAAGAGCACCGAGATCGAGACGAGCGTCACGACAATCACACGCGGCATGCGCGTCGGGTCGCTGTGCTCGCGCTGGAGCGCAGGAATGACGACACCGGCGCCGTACGCAAGCGCGAGGTTGCCAAAGACGGCCGTGACACCCGAGAACGAGAGGTCCGGCGACGGCGTCGAGAGGTTCTTGGCTTCCGGCGTCGACATGTTGTCGATGAGCATGTAGATGGCAATGGCGTCGGCCAGGATCGTACCGATGGCACCAGCCGCGGC